AAAGAGGCTCCAGAAGGGAGCACAGTTAGCAAAACACAGTCTGCCAACCCCTTGTTCTTATTCAGCGAGGTCCTTGCTGATCTTGTAATTGTGGAGCTGTAAGATGCTGAGCTTGTGTTATTTTGAACCACTTGGTTAGTAGTAATTGGTGGCAGTATCCTACAGCAGCAGTAGAAAATGAATATAGTTATTGGGCATTCTCTGGGAAGGGATATATCTAAAGCGTGAAATTCTGTTCCACAAACTTTCTCTTATTCTTCTCCTGAGAACAACTCTTGTCTTTTTAAAGTCCATGATTTGCTGCAATGTCTGCTTTTATAGTTTTATGAGGGTATTATCATTATATTACACTAAAATTTAATAAAAATCTTCTCAATTCAGCCATTGAGCTTCCAACTAAACACACAGGTTTTCCCCTGTTCTTGATAACACATGTACTAATCTCTCTCAAGAACCAATATTCTGACATTGCAGGCCACGGTCCACCAACTGGAGCTGCTTAGTTCTCAATTTCTTACATACTCTTATTAATTATGTCACCAAAGCTTTTGACCTTAACCTAAATAATCCAACCATAAATTCTTCTAAAACACCATTAGTGTTCATATATATTAGCCACAATTGTGGCTTTAATAAACATTGTATCTTATACATCTTCCAGAATGACAACATGCCCCATCAGCCTCCCTGGTTCCATTCCTTTTTCCAACCCCCCAAAATCACAAACCTCTCCTACTTCCAGAGTCTTGTTGGTATTGGAACAAGTGTTTCATGACTTCACAAACATGTTTTATGTGACACACATAGAGTGTGGCTTTCTCTCTAGAAAGTTTAATTGTATTCTCTGGGATATGGTTCATTCCTTTTCTCTGATTTCCAAAGGCACATTAAAAAGATCTTTCTCCTCCAGCACAGGGGACTGTGGTGATGGTGCATGGGTGGCTTGGGGAAGGAAATTCTATGGGGACTCAATCTGAGGGGGTGGGTGGAAGCAAATATTGTCTAAAAAATGTAAAAAAAAAAAAGATAAATATTAAAATAAAAAAATAAAAAAAAAATCTTTCTCCTCCAATATCTCATTCTCCTAACAGTAATCTCAGCACTAATTTTGACACCTTCTTGAAATCTCTTCATTTTGTTTTCTTTCCTGGGTTGTGTGCTTCATGCTGGCTAAAGACCATTTATTCTGATAGTTTTCAAGTGGTTCACCTTTGATGTCAGAGAGACAAGTTTACATTCATGGGACATCTAATTGGCGGTCCCCTCAGGCAGAAGGTTTGATGAGCCTGGAGTTACACAATTGCTTTTTGGGCTTGACTCTGCGTTAGTCTCTTGAATCAATCTAATCAAAGACTTTTTAGAAGACCCTAGTCAACAGTTTGACACTCAGCAGTGGCTAATCTTGCTGCATGTTCTACACTAACTTTGGACCATATGTTTGGAACAAAAATTCTTGCCTAGTTCTTTGACACATTAACATGCATCTGGAACTAGGTGATACTGAGTGCTTTCAATGTTTCAGGAATTCCACACTCACTACTTTTCTTGAATCTTCACAATTATTGGATATATTAGGTCCTAGGATTACCTCCATTGTTGATGAAAAACTAGGCTTAGAAAGTCAAGAAATTTTCTCTAAGTCTTGCAGATAGTAAGAGGTGAAAATGAAATTCAAACTCAAGTCTATGTGACTTCAGAACCTAAGTGTGTCCTCACTTTGTTCTACTCAGAGTGTGTAAGTGACCATGACAGTAACTGAATCCCTTTCTTTATTTTCTATTCCCAAATGCATGTTTTTTGGACTGCATTTCCATATGCACTCTTACCAGTGCTCTGGGGGACTGGAGCCCTGAGTCAGAATTTCTAGGATCTGTTTTGATACCTACTACAGCCTCTCCCTGGCAGAGCCACTTCCTCCAGATCACTGTTGCCAATGCCACAGTCAGCCCTACTGTATCATTGTATTTCTTGCTGGTTTGAGTTTCTGGTTGCCTGGTTAATATTTCTGCCACTGATAATGTGGCCAGCTAACCCAAGGATGGTTAATGTAGGGCAAACAGAACTGTAGGGGTGAGGACAGTAAGAGAGGAAGAAAAAGGTTGACTTGGGATATTTTTGAGTGCATTCATGGCTGGGCAGACTCGGGGGTGATATGAGAAATAATTAACAACTTATAAGCACCAACTAATTAGAATGGATACCTGCTAAATACTAAATTTACACCACTAAAGCTGATATTGGTGGCACCCTCCAATGAGATGTTACCCCATTAGTTGCTGGATCTTGGGGACCATGTAAGACATTCCACGGAAGACATAGATCTTGTTGCAGGAGTGATTTGCCAACTAACAGAAATATTTCTGTTTTGCATAGAATGTCAGTCCTGTGAAGACGGGTCTGAGAGAAGAAAAGAAGATTTCATGGCGAGATAACTCTCATGAGTACAAAGGGGTATTTGAAAAGTTCAATTTATGTGGCAAATCCAGTTTCGTTCTGTTCCTGTCCTTCCTTCACAGAGCAACTGCAGTCATCTTTCTCATTCAAAATTCTGATCTTTTCATTCTTCTGCTGAAAACTGTTGGATCCCATATGTCCTCCATATGTTGGTGCCACGTGATCTGGTCTCTGCTTATTTTTTCAACATCTTCCCTCATTCCCTCCCTTCCTTTGACGCACACATACATACACACCCCATACCCCCGAGTCATATCAAAACTAGTTGATATTTCTAGAACACAGTGTGTTAGCTCAAGTAACTTTGCCTAAAAAGTCCCATCCTGAAGATCATCCATTCCTTCAGAACTCAACTAAACGTCACCTCAGGGACAGTCTTAGCCCCTCCTGGCTGCCCTGACATCTAGCTTTCCCTTAGTTCTGATCACCTCTGTCCTCATTGTTGGGTTGCATGCCAGCCTCTCCCTTCAGAGTGTGGACCCCATGTGCACAGGAGCAGTCTCTTCACCTTGGAGCTGCCCCCACTAGCACAGAGCCGAGCCCATTGCAGGCACTCAGGAAACACTCAGGCACTCAGGAGGGTAAAGTGCTCACTTCTAGCATCTCACTGATTACCTGTCAGCATGTCAGGGGCTGAGCTGTGCCACACATCCCTTATGTGATAGGACCATGCTTATGTCCCCTCCAATTCCAGAAGGAACTATTTAGTGATATCTTTTTCTAATACTCCAAGATTAATACAGAAAAATCAAGGTAGGTCTTTTTTGGATAAGTTTTCCCTGAAGGCTAGATTCATTTATTTTCCCTCCCCTTGTCTTTCCCTGACTATGATCCAGGAATCCACCCATCAGGTCCTGCTGCATCAGGAAGCTTACCTGAGCCAGCTGAGAACTGTGTGTCCTGCTACTTTATCCCTTTAGTCTGGGAGTTTTAGCCCACCCGTCCTTTGTTTGTTTTCCTCCCTGCTGTTTGTCCTTCTTAGCATCTAGATGTCCCAGGACTGATGACTATCTGCTGAGTCCTGGACGCTCTCATGGCTTCTGGGATCCACCAGCTCATCCAGATGTCCTAGGGTGCTTTCTGGAAGCTAGGTTTGCAAGCCTTTTTATCCATGGCCTTCTCTGGAGCTTCCTGTGTCTATGCTGCCTCACTTCTCCTTATCTGTCTTTTAATGCCTCTCTCCAGCCTGGCTGGAGGCGTTGCCCCTCTAGCTCCCGGACCTCATTCTAACCTTGGCCTGTTCAGTGCCAGATTTCTCAACTTATTTTTACAGTGTGTTGCTGCCCATGACATCAGTAAGGCAGTAAATTTCACTTTGGCTTTATATTATGTAGAAGAGTAGCATCTATATAACCAGAAGTTCCACAAGGATCAGGTAAGATAGTCTCTGTCACCCTAACAGAAACCGTTTTTAGATAATTCCTGCTGCTAACATTATTTCCAAGTGAAATACAGGCAAAAAAACCTCTCGTGCATCCTGTCCAAATATAGCAGACATGTGTTGACCACACCTTGCAATGTGGCTAGTTCTAATTGAGATGTTTTATAAGACACACATCTGATTTCTAAGACTAAAAATTGTAAAATACACACTTCATACTTTAAAAATTGTAAAATACATCCTTCATGCTTTTGATGCCAATTATAAGTTGAAATAATAGTCTAGATATTTTAAGTTCAATCAACTTGTAGTTATTTTGACTTTGGAAATGTGGATCATAAAACATTTAAAATTCTATATGTGGACTGCACTGTTTCAGAGGCTTTGCCCTGTGGCACTTTAAATATTAGTAAGCTGACTGTGTATCCCTCGAATGGAAAGTTAGTGTGGAATTAAAAAGCAGAAAAGGTTATGAATGACAGAAGGTAGCATCTGCTCAGATTTTTAAATTTCTGTTCTCTGAATACACCTGCAGTGACAAGCTTTTAAGAAGGTCTGCTAATCCTCGGAGACATAAAACTGAACCAAATGGCATCATCTAAGGCCCCCTGCATGGCGCCTAACCTTAGAGGCTTCAAATCAATATTGATTTTTGTCATTTATTTTACCCTGGCATTTAAATATCCCTCAGATTTATTATCTTTAGGTTTTTGGTTAAGATTCAGGGATGGCTATGAGAGCAAGGATGGTCATAAGTTATGTAGATATCATTTAATTTATGAACTCTGCAGCTTCAGGGTAACTTTCAGTTCAAGAAATATATTAACCACATGCACATCACCCTTCATTTTGCGGTGCGGACTTCCAAGCTGGGTCCCTATTGTGCCACTTAATTTATGGTCTGGCCAGGTACGTGGATCTGCGTACAATATTTCAACGTAAGTTGCTTCAGCCATCAGAGGGTCTGAAGATGGGCTTTGAAGAAGCCAGCTGGACAGTTGATGGATTGCTCACTCTCTTAGACTTAGGCCGGGGCATTAAGTAGCTTTTAAAGCTTGTCAGCGGTTTGGGTCTTTTTCTGCTCTGAGAAGCTGCACACACCAGCCTAAACAAGCAGAATTAGCCATGCTGCAGCAGGCAGAGGGCAGCTCCCAGAGGTACTTACGTTGACAGCCGTAGTGCCAGGAATTTCCCGGCAGACACTTATTACACTTAGGCCCTGTTGTTCCAGTCTTACACTCACAAAATCCTGAGCCATTACAACGACCATGGACTGAGCCCAAAGGGTCACAATAACACTCTGTAGAAACAAGACAACACACAGGCTGGAGACAAGTCTGCATGGTTTATAGGTTATCAACACAGGATTGTCACTTACTTAATGCATCACTTACTTAAAGAAAGATGTCCACTAATGAAATGCTTTGGCAAATACTTCAGGTCCATTTATTTATTTGCTCAGCCTTTCATAGTATCACTTTTATGATACGGAAGGAAATCAACTGAAAACGCCCAAGGAAATAAGACATCATGCTTTTCACTGCTAACGGACTATAATGGAGATTCCATTTGTTAAGACATTTTTAGATGGTTTAATGAACACCATGAGAAGTTTGTATATCAAGGATAAATCAATATGCCATCAGTACAAAATCTATTTTAAATTATTCAAATGGGCTTATCTGTTACACTAAATATTTGAGAACTGCTAAACATTTTTAAAGTAAAATATGAATGCACTTTGCTCACTCAAAGGCCATTTTATTTTATGATTTGAGAGATCCTCTTAATAAATACATATATATGTAATACACACAGTGTATATATAATATACTCTTGTATGATGAGCCTTTAGGTTTTATATCTGCCAAGCATGTTGATACCACCTTTATGAAACCTATAACAGTCATGAAAGAAAAAGAATTTTTGTACTCCTAAATAAATTTCAACATGGGTATGGTTTGAGACACTTATTTTTCATTATGATGTCTACTGGCAAGACAATACAATTTTGTGTAATAAAATGTAAACAGAATTATTTTCTTGATTGCTCACATATTCTGGTATAGGACATTTTACTTCTGAAACTCTATTTTACTTAAAGGCTGAACCACAAATGGGAATTCCTTACATTTAAAAGGTAACTTTGTCGGTTTTGAAACTTGTGGTTAAAGTTTCTTTGTCACCGCACACTACAAGATTGGGCAAGTTATTATGCTTCTCTGTTGCTCAGTTTCATTTATCTTAAAATGGTCCCACTAAGAGGTTTCCTTGTTGAAAAACAAATAAAATCAACTAACCAATCAACTAAAGAAATCCTGAGAACTTCAGCTTAACATCATCAAACTTATCAACTTAGATCAGAAATGGAAATTCAGAATTTTAAGTTTTAGAAATTCAGAGATTTGGCTCTGTATTTGTCATAGAGGCTAAGGAGATAATTTCTTTAAATATCAAAAATGATTTATTTCTGGTAAGTCAATTTTTGAGTTCAACCTTTGTATGTACAAATGTTAAGATAGGTAAAAATAAAACTAATTACACTCTAATATATTCCCTCCTTGCTGACTTCATTTGTCCTTAATAACTACAGTTTTATTTTAAATTGGCCTATGCATGTAATATGAGGACTGTTGAAAGTATTTTTATAGCCATTTTTTAAAATGACTTTTAAAAAGTTTGTACATATGTGTACTATAAGTATGTACCTATACCAAAACTGCAATACATTTCTTACTACCAAATGTGTTTAAGTTGAGGGTGAATCACCAGTATTTTGTAATCAAGCAGTAAAGTTAGATCTGGCCAACATGAATTCACATATTACTTTAACAGCTTAGCCCATAATGTTTAATTAATAAAAAGCTTCAGATGCAAAAATTAAGTAATCAAATTAAAAAAAAAAACAACTGTGGATGGAATATCTAAACCACAGTGCATCTCAGCAGTTGTCATAAGAAAAGTAGTGTAATGTTACTCAAGCAGTGTAATGTTACTCAAGCAGTCATGAAAATAATTGATAAGGAGAGATGTGACCTATTCCCCACTTTACATACAGATAAGTTAGTTTAAAAAATATTATTTATAAAACTATGGTCAATGGCAAATGTTGGAATGATAAGGATGGCTTTGGACCATTATATTTTATTTCATGCAAGCAGGAATAATAATAGGACTGTTCGGCTAAAAACAAGAAAAACTAGGAATTTTGATTAAAAAGTTATACTACAATTGATTTGTAGATACTTGAAATGCCTGCTTGCTTTGTTTATAGAAGGAAACTCTGATGACCTGATGTTGGGTTTCAAGGGGAATAAAAAATATATACATCATAATTTGAGACAGGTTTAGTAGCAACTGATGAGCTCTGTGTTTCATTCCAATGTCAAGCTTGTTATCAGGGATTATTAGCAGTGATTACCCAAGGTCACGAGCCACGCATCCTCCAGCTTCCTGCTTAATGATTGAGTTTCTATGAAACAGAAGCATGCAAGGATGTACTTTTCATGTAATTGCTGCGTCATACAGGATAATTACATGCATCTTTGGAGACATGGCTATGCTTGGAATTTGTATGAAAATGGTAAATTCACCAGTAATCACAAGGCAGCAATCACTGAGGCAACATAGAAGAGCCTGCATTTTATATTTGTCATAATATAAAATGATGCAAATAGTTTAAGACATCTGTTTCAATACAGAGCCCATGTTTTGTCAAAGATTTAGCTGTTTCCCAGAGTTGGTGTGATGAACTTGATTGCCAATTGTTAAAATATTGGACAATGTCTTTTTTTTTTTTTAATTTAGCTTAGACTTAGGCGAAGTTCAAATTTTCTGAGATGAGTGTCCAATTCCATGAAAGTGAGTTGGCTTAATATCTATTCCATTCATTAGTGCTTTTTATAGAAAATGGTATTCAAATTAACTCAGTTACTAGTTGTTTATTCACTTAAAGCTAATTCTCAGTCCTGCTTCAAGTCCTTTGGGGAGCTTAAATGTGGAAAACAGTGGATAGTTTCTGTTGTCCCATAGGGGAATTTTTTCCTTGGAGCCAAAGACTCTCCAATAGCTCTGAGAAAGCAATCTCCAGCCTTAGCCTCCTACATAGGCAGTTTCAAAGCAAAGATCAAAGACCGACCATAGTCTAAACTAGCTAGCCAAATGCTGGAGTTCATTCTTTGAAAACAATTTTACCTCTTAGGAAAAGAATAACAATTTAGGACATTTTGGTATGGAAGGGGGTGATATGGTAGCGAATTTTAATGATACCTCACATATTCATGTTTGTGCTACCAAAGACTTTAACTGGTTTGAAGAGTATGAAATACTGAACAGAAAGATGTTTGCCACAATAAAATAAATTCCTCAAAGATTTATCATTTTAATTAATAAACTTTCCAGAAATGGAGAAAACAACGGTTCTTGATTTTTAAATAGAAATAAATATACAAAGGTGTGTATTAAGTTTTCTGTATTTCTTCAGTAGTTTATGTGCTATAAAAGACAAAAGCTGAATGGACTGACTTCTTGTTTGTGAATAATCAAACATGAATTTACAACACAACCTTTTAGGTTCTTAGAATTTGTAGTTCATAGATTACTTTGGGACTTGAAAAAGGTCGAACTTCATAAGAATAGAATATACTACGTGTAAAACACTGGATGATTGTAAAATTACCTGCTTAAGATAAACTATGGGAAAAAAATCCTTTAAGGCTTTTTTTTAGATTTAAAATAATATGAAATTAATATTGGAAAATATTTCAATCACAGGTATTTTATAAAAATCAGTAAGTTTTATTCCTGTGTTTTTATTTATTTTAACTTCTTTGTTGTTTCCAAGTTTATAGTATGACATTTATATATTATTTTGACAAATGACACTCAGTGAAATATTATCATTAATATCCTCAAGTAATTGTAACAAATTGTTATGAAGGCAATTGAACTTCTCCTAAACTCATGGTAGAATTGCTGAAGTCATCCGAAAAGCATGATATGCTAAACTTTGCTAATTGTTTCAGGGAGGCTGGGAGAAGTTAGGAAACTCTTTGCAAAAATTGAATGATCTATGTTAATTTGCCTTACTTTTCTCAACTAGAAAATAGAGAAAATTATTAATTGAATACTTACCCTATGGTTTTGTTAATGAGGATTAAATAAAAACAATTATAAATCAGTTCACAATTTACAAAGTATTTCCTGTGCATCCCATATAATTCCAATTTGATCAAGAGGTTCAAATAACTTACCTAAGTCACACAGCTGGTAAATAACTAGCTGGCACTTGAACCCAGTTCTCCAGCCAGTGATCTCTCCACTAATTCACAAATAATAAGTAAGGAAGTGCTTTGAAAAATAAAACATTCTGTAGACAAAAATGGTATTATATATACTTGGCCCAACTGAATTCAAAACAACTTGCACAGTTATTTTATGAGACATATGCCAAGTACCTATAAAACCTTGACAATCCAATCAGAGAACAATGATCTCAGAATTGCAGATTGATTGGATTCCATTTTTGATGAGAGATCACCTGTCATTTTTCAGCCTGTGTATTCTGTTTAAATTAGTCTCTGTGAAAATTCTACCTTTAAAATTCACTTTAAAAAATGGTTTCCTACATAGTTACCTACTGGTGTGGTAACAGAGTGTGAATTCTTTACCATGTTGTATAGATATGCATTTCTTCAAATTAAATTATAAAGTGAAATTCCATTTATTGTTTTCTATTTTTCCATCAGCTCCCTTTCTTAAAGATAGATTCCACTGTGAAAAGATAGAAGAAGCCCTTCTGGATGTAAGGACATATGGTTTTCTCTAATTGACATGAGCAGTTGTCTTGGGGAGTGGGGATATTCTTCTATGGATCCCTGTGCCGCCAGTTTTCCAGTGCCCATGTATCTTGGAAGTTAGGAAAATTAATTTCCTAGAATAGTTTTGAGAAATTGCTTCTCTTTGGGGGGGCAACAAAAATTCAATAAATGGAATTTCATTACAATGGATGGAAAGGTGAGGCAAACATTACCAATTGCTAGTGGCTTTCAATTATAAATGTCAATATTTTTAACCAATCAATTATTTGTTGATTACCAATGATATATGAGTTTGTATTCTAATTTCATTTATATAAAAAAACTCACATAATAAGTTTTCATTTTGAAAGTTGAATGTACAACTTGAGGCTTTAAGATCAGGTTAAAATTATCAGACGTTGAGATTTCATGCAAATAAAAACAACAAATGAAAAAAAAAGGGAGAAAAGAGAAGGAAAACTTTTCATTTGCTAAACATGATTTTTCAGATCATCATCTCGAAAGCAACAATAACACACAGATTCAAAATATACCTCCCACTAGGATTTCAACCAGCACAAGTGAATTTTAAATCTACCACAAGGATGTTTTCTCCATTGAGAAAGTTCATTCTGGCTCAGTTGAGTGCAAATCACATCTTTCCACCCTAAATAGCTCCCCATAGCTCAAGAGGCAGAGAACAATAGCTGAAAGTATAATGGAACTGACCTATGCATACATTCTCATCGTCCAGCTGTGCAGAAGCATTTCTGAAGTAGCCCAGCCTGCATAACTCACAGTGCTGCCCTCTAGTGTTGTGCTTACAGCTCACGCAAATGACTGTATTTAGCAGATCGATATAACTGCATCGATTGGAGTGGCCGAAGCATTCACAATCTTGCAAGGAAGAACAGAAATGTATACCAAGTGTATACAGTAGCAGAGTAATAGCACACTACATGCTCGGATGAAATGATGAGTGGAGAAAAGATGGTGGAATGGCATTACATATATGGGATTCAACATGACAAATGGCAGTAACAGGTGGTCATAACTGGCAGTAGCATCTGTTTCAGGCAGGATCGAAAGGTTGGACATTCAGAACATGACTGAAATTGTTAGCTCTTGGCAGACAAGATGAACAGAAGCATTTGCAGGTGTACACCTTTTAAAATTTGGGGAAGGCTTGGTTTCCTTTGATGCAAAAGTCTAATTTTTGCACTGTCTTTGTACATCTTCCCCCATTTTCTCTTCATATCTGCAGTCTTAAAAAGAGAGGGAAGTATGTGATCATCTGGAGCCTCAGTCTGCCATCACCCATGGTTGCTTTGTTTAGACTCATTATCATTTATATCAAGAAAGTAACTTTGTCAGAATTTCACAGATATTATGGCAAATTTAATAAACAACTCAATAATTACTTTTGTTTTTTCCAAGTGCTAAGAGGAAAAAATGACTTTTTGAAGACTTTCATTAAGTTAAATCATGTCTGTTTATCTATGAGGAAAAAAAAAAGCAACAGGGAGATATTGTAGAAAAAATGTGCACTTAAGATTTCCTTTTCTTCCAAGTTTCAAACTGAATCTGCTACTGTATTAGGCAGCTACTGTATCCCTAGACTTCTTTTCCTTTGTCTCCCTCAAATATGGGAGTTACCTTTTCGCTTTAGTGATGATGGTGATAAGAACTGGACAAGGAGATGAAGAAAAGTAAACAGAGCTACGAGAGGGTGGAAATGACTAGATGTCTTCCCAGCTGCATCTCAACCAAAGCAAGGAGTCATTAACCCAACTCAACCTTAAAAAAATTGCTGTAAAGATAAAACCCTGATTGGTAGCAATAATGATCAAATAGGACAAAAAAAAATAAAGTCTGAGAAGTGACTAGGTTGGGGAATTAACTTTGTCTTCTCAAAGACTGGGAGGAGGCCCAGCTAAAAGGTCAACCATGCTACTATACACACTAACAATGGTCTTCTTTGAGTTTGGCTTTTATTCTGTCCCACTAGGAAGTCATATTGTCACTCTTTGAGTTCATTCATTCATTCAGTAAGGAATTTATGAAGATGGTCTACGACATGCCAGGTACCTTGCAAGGCCCTGCATTACTCTTTTAACCTAGATGAAAGTTTTGGAGGAATTACACTTGATAACAGGGGCAAAAAAGAATAAGCATTGTCAATATGAGAAAGAAAGAATAAGAAAGGGGTATTAGCCTTTTTAGTTTTATGAACATATTACTGCCCATCGTGGAGTCACTTATTGGCCAGCAGGCTACTACCGTAGAGAGCAGAGCTCAAGGTCCTACCACGATGAAATTAAATTTGGATAGCAGATGAGAACAGTAGAAATAGTGAAGAGTGGAAGATATCCAGGAATGTCTTCAGTACCCTGGGGACCTCAGATGCTTCAAAGAGGAGGAGGAGGCTCCTGCCGGCCTGCCACGTTCCTATGGGAGGGTAGGTGTGTCTCTGTGCATACGTGCTCTAGTGGTAGAGACCGGGATGGGGACAGGTGAAACCAGAGGGAGAACTCTGGGAGAAGGATGTTGTTCTGGGACTCCAATGTGAAATACGGAGCAAGGAAATTACCTGCATAAATTTAGTAATTAAGGCATGCCAAATTTATAACAATACAATGACAAAAAGTAATACAATTATAGATGACCAAATTAAATTCTCTTAGAAGACAAAAAGCATTTCACTGAAATATATCACATCTTCTTGAGTCACAGCATTCCCAACTCCTTAGGAAACCTAAAATTTTTCTAGACCCCTCCTTGGTTGAGAGTCTGAAACCGGAGAATCCTTCTGGCCTGAAGCCACCCCAGAGTATTGTTGCAAGGGGGGAAACCTAAGTCTCCAAATCTAATTGCTGCACAAGGACTTTGAAGTTCCTTGGAATTCCTGGGAAGTGGGAACAGTTCTTCCCAGACTCTCCCACATCTGGAAGATATCCCTGAGTGGTTATCATCTTAGCTCCCCCCTCCCCTCCAAGTGCACCTAACGTGATTAACCCATCTTTTCCTAAAAGCATCTTTTATCTGCATCAATTCATTCTAGGAGCCTTTGGAACCACATAGAAACCCTTGTTGTCAATGAGCTTGTTTAGATAAGACAAATGTGCTCAGATAACAAGAAAACAACACAGAGGATACTAAGAAAACCAAGGAGTGAATGAAAGTGATCCAAGGAGAAGTTCATTCACTTGAGGGGAATTAGGAAAAACTAACTTAACCGTGATTTAACGCTGAATCTTCTGTGAGGGCAGGTAGGGTTTATTTTTAATGAGGAAGGAATGATTATTTCAAATGAAAGAAATAGGGTGTGCAAAGACCTAAAGTTGGGAAATGTAGAGGGTAAGGGTGGAGAAGATCTCTTACATGGTTCTTTGTGGGTAACTAAAGGAGTATGTAGAGTTTGCCCAATAGTTAGAACTACATGAGGCATCTGACAAGACTTAAGCCAAAACAAAGAGGTGTCTGTTGATATCCAAGCTCAACGCTTTCTAGAACCATTTCATGAATGGCCAGGCATGTCAAATATCTCACTATCACCTACCATTCTTTGAATTTAGTGAGTAGCATACATTTCTGTAATGATATGAATTATTTGTTTCAGGATCTCATTTGAAAATCAATTTATTAATTCTGATAGGGAACATTAAATAACAAATGATATCACTAAATAATTATATAAGTAATTACATAATTTTATGAGAAACTCTGCTTAAATAAACACACAATATTATCAACTTATTTCAAAAGATATTTGAAATGCCTTAAAATCTAGAAAATAGGCTGATAGTAACTTGCTTCTGTAAGACTTCTAAGACTCTTTTGAAACTTTGATAAAGCTGTCTTCTCTGGCCGTGATACATTGAAATAAAATGAGAAGAAGATGTTTCAAAGTTATCTGAAAAAACATGAGCACACTATATTAATGCAAGACATTTCAAATATAATTATTAGACTGCGGTATTATTTTTCGATGTTCTGTTAATTTACCACTCTTTAATAACCAGTCTTTCCATTTAGGCACAAAATCCATTAATGATCATTGATAATATAGTTTGAGCTGCATTATCATATTAAGCCCCTGAAGGGATAATATTAATAGTTCAATAGTTTTTTTGATCCTCCATTTTACTTGTCTGCTATGCCCTCCCTTCTTTTCTTACAAGTATAGAGACCATAGTCCATCTTTAAAATCATTCCCTTTTATATACTCTCATCTCCTTATTCACTTAACTCCCATTCTTAATAATAATTTACTGAAAAACTGTGATCATGGTTCTATCCAACCTTCTACCTCTCTATGCCTACACCCCAGGAAAAAAAATGTGGTAGGGGTTTATCTCCAACCATTTATAAAACAGTCTCACCTTAAGTTCAAGACAATGGGCCTCAGTAGGCCCCTTGGCTGCCTGGACATCCTTCCCCTGTGGGAAAGGATCTTCTATATCACAACTCTCAGGTTCTCCTTTTTCCTCATACATCATTTTTTGTTCTCTGTTTTGCTTTTTATCCTAACTCCTCAAATCTCAGGGCTTATCCTTGAACCTCTTTGCTCTTTAGTCTCACCCAAAAGCCAGGATTTTTTTAACCAGCCTCATAATTTTAAAGATTTATTTTATTTACTTATGCATACAAGAACTGGGATATAGAACAGAGGTGTGGGAGGGTGAGAGGATTCACCAGAGACAGAGTGGGGAGCAGAACAGGTGGATCTACTGAAATACACTGCTGAGAGTAGCAGCAGATGAGACAGGAGAGGTCTGCTCCCCAGCTAGGGACTGAAGTCATGCCACAGTGGCTGGTGATAGATTCACAGTGCTGAGACTTAATCTCTTGCACCACCAGGGAGGCTCCAGCCTCCTAGCTTTCAAACCATCTATACATTGCCTTTTCCAAAGGTTATTTCCAGCCTGGACCAAATCTCCTGATAGACAATGAAACTTCATCCACATTCATATATCAACTGCCCTCTTCATGTCTCCACTTGGATTTCTAACACAGTCAATTTTAATATGTTCAAAACTGAGCTCTTAAGTTACCTTCTTAAACCTGCAACTCATCCAAGCAGCCTCATCTCTATAAACAACAACTCCTTTTTTCCAATGGCTCAGCGCAAAATTCCTGGAGTTCTCGTGACACCTCTTTTTTTCACCACCAACAATCAATCCATAAGCAAATCCTTTTGACTACGCTTTTAAAATAAATTCCAAATCTCATCACCTCTAATTACTTACCCGTAGTTAAAAATTGCATCACCTACATTGACCTGTTGACCCCAAACTGCTCTCCTGGTCTCTTCTCCACACATAGAGCAAATCTTTGAAGACTAAAGTAAGTCATAGCACCCTCTGGTCATAATCCCAATGGCTTTCCATCTTCTTCAGAATAAAAGTCAGGTTTGAGTGTATTCATTCCCAGTGGATGTGGCCCTAGCCTTCCCTGGGTGCTTGCTGCTATCACTCTCTGTACAGTATCTCCATGCTATTCTGAAAACATGCCTACCACTTTCAAAGCATTTGCGCTGGCCATTCCCTGTCTGGAATACTCCTCCCTAAAACTTGCTTCCTTATTTCATTTTTATGTCTTTGCCCAAAGAAAAGTCTGTGACCACACTATCCGAAATAATATCTCCCACTTTTTAAATGCTGTTTACATTTTTTGTAGAGTTAATTGTATCTGAAAAGCATATTTAAAAAAATTTCTCTCCCATACTCTGGGTGTAAATATATGAATCCAGACTGTTTTTTTGTTCATAGCTATAACTACAGAATTTTAAAAATCACCTGGCATAACACTAAATCCTCCAAAATGTTGATGAATGAATGGATGTGTTAATGATGATCCTGAGGTACTTTTACTTTTTTAGCAGAGGAAGACACAGA